TCTAAGAATAAATAACACAAAATGTTAATAAAAAGTAAGTAAATATTGTAGTTAACCCCAGAACATACTTCTGGGGTCATTTATGCATTTTACATAGAACATCGGGTTTAGCGTAGAAAAAAGGTTGATATTCCCAATATGTGAATCCGAGGATTCATGATTTGTGTCCGTTTACCGCAAAAATACGTACTGCGTTTTTGGAAATGTTGACGCGCTATAAAAGCTACGTTCAAATCAGTCAAATAAAAGTAGTTCTAGTATTAGTGGCGCTTTTGACTAGCTACCTTCACATTAGTTTAAGATTACAGACAGTTATGTGGAGATAGAACTTTGTATAGCTTTTCGCAAAAAACTCTGAAACAAATAAACATAGAGATTAAGTGATTTTGCCCAATTTATTTGGTCATTTCTTTACACAGAGAGTTATAACAGGCAAAAATATAAAATTACTCGATATAGTTCAATATGTGGACCACATCCATAATGAATGGCATAACATGAGTCAGTAGTTTGAGGGTTAAACAACTACCTGGCAACTGTTATAAGTCTATGATCATAGAGTGGGGGGACTCTTGTAATGACAGCAAGCAGATATAGCACTCAGTTTTTGATGATTAGTTTAACGCAGCTGGTTATAAGACTATTTGGACCGATTATCCTTGTTAAATAGCAGCTTTGGTTTAGTTGATTTTCTTTTATTAGGAATGGACGAACTGATTTTCTTCTCACTAACATTTATGTTTTCTAGAAGTAACAAAATATGAAAAGCGTGCGTAATCCTCTTAATGCCCCCCAGTAGCACAGCGGTATGTCTGCGGACTTACAACGCTAGAATCCGGGTTTCGATACCCGTGGTGGACAGAGCACAGATAGCCCATTGTGTAGCTTTGTGCTTAACTTAAAAACAAACAAACAATCCTCTTAATTTAACCCCTTGATTTTTCCAAAATACCAAACATAGCACGAATACCATAAATGTTAATACGCAAGCACACTGATCAGTTTAAAGTTCCTAAAACATAGATAAGCAACTCTTCACTTTAATCTTAGCTAAATATTTTATATAACAGAACACTGATTGAAATTTGATGCAACTTAAGAAAAAATACCACCAAATGAGTGGTGTCGATAGTTTCAATATAAGAAAAAAGTTTCCAAGTTACCACAACATATAACGAATAACTGAGAATGTTTGTTCAGTGGTAAGCTTGAAGTCTCATAAGATTAAAATTCGGAACCACAGATAGTTCGTTTTCTAGTTTTGCGCTAAAACAAATGAAATAATTTCAAACTTTAGAAAATAAAAACGTAAAAAAAAGTGGCTCATTCAAATTCCAATACACACACACACACACATATAAACTATAAAAAACAAGCAAACTAATAAGTTTGTTGTAAATAATAAAGGACGACTGAAGAGAGAGAGAAAAAACACTCATTAGGGTGCTGAAAGGGAATTGATATTGATGAAAATAAATAAATAAACATTCAAGCAACAGTTATCAATATTTGCGTTTTTGACAAAAGCCCTTCGGCCGATTCTTGAAAAAATAGTCTAATCCCGAAACGCTGATATAAATATTCAACGTTACCATCTGTTTTTGAGTATCTACTTACGACCATCAATTACGTTTTATAACAAAAATATAATAAAATATTATAAATATATTTTACAATTTATTTCTTACATATCCTGAAGTCTGAAAATATTTTAAATTATTAGGATT